AAGTCCTGTGGGCTGATAACATCCTGTGCTCTCTGCCAACTGTTATCGGTTAGTACTATTTCCAGTTATCTGGGGACTACAGAACACCTGCCCACATTTTATAGAGCAAATAAGAGGGAGTGTTCTGCAGTCCTGCCCCCCAAATATTATTTCTTTATTACAGGTATTTATATAGCGCCAACAATTTTACGCAGCACTTTACATAGTTGCACATTCACATCAGTCCCTACCCTCAAGGAGCTCACAATCTAAAGTCCCTATTTCACATGCATACATACTTACAGGGACAATTTTAGACAGGAGCCAATTAACCTTCCAGCATGTCTTTGTAGTGTGGGAGGAAACCAGAGTACCCGGAGGAAACCCACGCAAGCACAGGGGGAACATGCAAACTCCTTCAAACCAGAGACCCCCAGTGCTGCACGGCAGAAGCGCTAACCACTACACCACTGTGCTGCCCAAAAATACAGTTTGATAAATGAGTGGCGTCTCCCTACAACAGGAAGTGCGTTACTGGTAGGATCACTAGGTAAAAAACAAAAGAAAACTAATGCAGTCACCACATCGAGAGTGGTAAACTGCAATACATTACATTGTGTTCGTGTGCTTACATGCATTTGAACAACATTGATATCCTGTTCAGTTTAAAAACCAACCAATCTTTGAAACATACTGTTCTACAACCATATATGAGGAGAGGGAAAGTGTAAAATATTAAAAGATATAACTATTCCCTGAAGGCCCTACTCCTAGAGGTGAGAGACACATTCTTATGTATGCTGCCATTGATGACCACTGTTTCTCAAAATGCGAATTGCTTGGCTGCTTTACACGGACCATTAAGTTATTCAGTTGCTGTACGAGATGGAGGCTCTGGTCACCGAGGGTGGGGGGGCTGGTGTTGTAGGATAGGCCTCGCTCTGGCCGGTGTCCTGCCCAGCTCCTGGAAAGCAGTGATGTAACAGGACAGGATGCCGGCCACAGCATCCCAGATTGCTAAGAGTTGGATCGGGAGATGTGTATGGTCCTTACACATCTCCCAACCTGAAAACACTCTGGTATGAAAGAGGTGGCACAAAACATTGTGCAGCAGAATGGCCCCCCACATGACCCATAGAGATGCTGCCTGAGCCTCGGGCTTCCTCATTAAAAGGACAGCCCTGCCTGCGCTTCAAGGGTTAAGCGCTCTTTTTTTCCAGGGGACTAAAATAAAGCTGTTTTACTCACCTGAGGTCAGCGCTCACTTCTCCTCTCCGGATGTTGGAATGTCCTTCAGTGTCCTCCCATCTAATGCAGATCAATGGGCCTGCATAAGACGTGATGTCACCGGTCCTTAGACTAGTGGAGCGAAGGCTGCAGAGGATTGCAGGGGCCGGTCTAGCAGCCCGGACAAATGGTGGGAGTGAGGATCATATAAGTAAAACAGCTTTAACAGCGTTCCTTAGACATGAATGAGCACTTAACCCTTGCAGTACAGGGGCAGCCCCAATGCAAGGAAAAGTATTTAGTGTGTCTGGAGATGGAAACAACCAGAAAGGTAAGATATATCTTTTTAGGTATGCTGTGTGGATGGGAACAAACAAACATTCAGAGGGGTTTTCTCAAATTTGCCTGCAGAAGTGGAAATACCCTTTCAATTCTGCTGATGCTTGTCACTGATCTGTCTTCCCAGTTGTAGCCTTTAGAGGGCAGTAATGTACACCAAGTTATAGAGTGCAGGAATTTACAAAGAACAGGCTCTCTCTCTCTCCCATAGACTCTCTGGGTCAAACACTTCAAAATAACATTATTCAGATATATTCATTTTACTGCCCATGTGCCACCAGGTATTGTGGTTACAGCTCACGCTTTTCCTAAAAATCAGTAGAATAAAGTTCAGGATAACAGCTCCTATCTGAGAGAACACTATATATTGGCGAGGTAGCCTGCATTGTACCAGGACAGGGGCGGGCGTTTATGGAAAGGGTGGTAGAATGGTTACATTTATGTTCCCTCTTGCTAGGCTGGAGCACATCTGTGCCTGTTCCCTGAAAGGCCCAGCGCTCCCTCCTCAGCTCTAGCACTTTATATACACATCCCTGCTGCTTGTCTCAAATTCCAGATTCCCAAACCCACCTTTAAACATCCACCCCCTTCCACCTCAGCCCTGAAAAGTGCCCCTTCGGCAGTCGTGAGCCTGCAGACAATGAGTTATTTTCAGACGGAGCCTTCTAACAGAAGCCAGCTGGCCCATCACTGAGGGTGCAATGTTTTCAGAAATCACAAGCCCCCTCTGTGCAGGTTTAGCTGCTGCCTCTTCACTTCTCCTGATACTCTGTTCCCTCACCCTACCCCCATCTACAACTGAAATACTGCCAAAGCGGCAAGAAGAAAAGTAAAGCGGCGCATCATCCTCTAAAGGGGGCAATCTTCTGCTACTGCAGGGCAACAGGAAAATGGCCCACTTTGTTAGTTGTTGTGTTGCAGCCGACTACAACTAAAGAGAACACATAATCGGATACAAATGGCTTACATAGTCTAGTACACAAAAAGGAGTTTCAAGCATTAGACATTTTTGTAAACTCTATAGTGAGGCTGGTGAGTCACAGAAATATAGATTTTAAAAAGGAGGTGTTTTTTACATTTTGGCGCCAGGTCATTTCATGTGTTTATGTGCTTTTATATGAAAAATATATGGGCTTTTTTCTCATTGCTTAAGCCGCACAAATATGTAATTAAAATATATTCCTCAATAGCCACCAAGCTATAAATCCATGTTGTGTGCACCAAATGCCTTTGCAAACCCAGTTTTTACATTGTAAAAAGCAGTAATGACTCTTGCTTTCCTTAGTGGCTCCCACAAGGCTGTACTCCCAGGCTGTGCAGAATACTGGAAAATTATTGTGTGATGACCTCCTGTGAGCAGGTATGCAATGTTATCACACTCTGACTATTGTGACGCTTGGACATCTCCGGTGATATGCCTCATTGTAAAATTGTGTATTCACATACAGTCAAATTGATTTTTCTGTTGTATCTATAGCATTGTAACTACTGCCTCCTGAACCCGTGCAGGGGCCACTCAAGGGCCCTGTATTGTTTTATTGCACTATTGTCTAAAAGGATTATCTTTGTGCGTTCTCAATGCTTTTGTAAGTAATGTTTATTATATTTTCAATGTGTTAAAACTCAAAATGTAGTCTTTGAAAAAAGTAGTAATGATATCATCACTGTGCTGTAAAAAGCCTGTGCAGAGAGCAGTGCTGTGGGAGAGGCCCAGCAGGCTCCACCCACTACAGGCCACCGGCAGAAAACTGCAGGAGGGGGCTGATACAAGACCAGTCGCCCTGCACAAGGAGAGAGAGCAGCGATGACCAGTCTTTACAGGATTACCTGCATTAAGCCAAAGTTTCATGCAGGATTGCTGCACAGGATCGGGAAGAAATGGACTAAGCACACCCAAATTCAAGAAACACTATACATGCCTTGTGTATTTAGACCATATTTTCTTTTCCTGGAGTTCAGCTTTTCAGGATTAGACAACCCAAAAGTGGTATTTCAAATAAAAATGGAGTCTGGTGAGCTAAATCACAAGATTGAAGAAAATAGGTCACCAGCACTCCATAAGTTAAAATGAATGAGTCCTTTTAATGGACAATGATGTCACAGAAATCCAACATGGCTCATGTTGGATTTCTGTGACATCATTGTCCATTAAAAGGACTCATTCATTTTAACTTATGGAGTGCTGGTGACCTATTTTCTTCAATCTTGTGTTTTGCACGGTGCCATCCGTGAAGTTACTTCGAGCACCATTTATTTGATTGTTGGCCGGGACTGCTGAAAGGTGTGCGGAGGGCACCTCCATCAATTGCTGCTGGTGAGCTAAATCATTCACTGGATTATTAGCATTCATTCATAGTATTATTCACTATGGTTGCCTCCTTTTATATTCAAACTTCCTCCCCTGTCACTGCCCCAACATGCGATACTCCAATTAAAGCCCCTGCACTGACGCACACTTCTTCACTGGCTGACACTGCACAAACATGTACTACACCATTTTCCACATAGCAACCACATGCCCAATTTATTTATTACAGGTATTTATATAGCATCGACAATTTACGCAGTGCTTTACATTCACATCAGTCCCTGCTCACGAGGTGCTTACAATATAAGGTCCTCATCTCACATACATACATACATACATACATACATACATGGTCAATTTAGACAGTAGCCAATCAACCTACCAGCGTGTCTTTGGAGTGTGGAAGGAAACCGGAGTACCTATAGCAAAACCCACACAAGCACAGGGAGAGCATGCAAACTCCATGCAGATAGTGTACTGATAGTGCCCAATGCACACTATCCCTCTTGCCACCACTGCATAGACATGTACTACCCGACTCTCTGCCACTGCACCCACAAAAACTACCCAACTCTGCCACTGTACTGACACACAATTCCGTATTCATCACATTCAACAAACAGGAACACTTTTGCTAGTTTGTAGTAAATAAACCACAGGGAAAGTAACACCCCCTCACAACTTTCAAGATAAGTGGGCAGGCCTGGCAACTCTTTCCACCTTAAAGTGACACTAAACTCAGGAGTTACATCATAAAAATACATTAAAGTGTCTTAATTAAGAAAAATGTATCTTATTTGTGTATCACTCGGCTGTAGATTCTCAAATCATCATCTCTGAATTGGTGCTGACACTGTCCTTCCTGCTGGAGGGAGGCTACTTTTGTTCTCCCTGGTTCCTGTGTGTGTTGTAAAGTAGCCACCGCTCCAAGCAACAGAGATGATTTGAGGATCTACAGCCAAGTGATACACAAATAAGATATATTTTTGTTAAAAGTTAAAGTGGACCTTTACCCTTACCTGTAAAATAAACACAACTTTAGAAATGTTTAGTAATGACAATCTACAAACACAAACTTCTAGATAATTGCCGGCTTTGTATTCTTTGTATACCTTAGTTCTTCTGTCATCCCTAGTCATCTGGCAGTGGCCATGTTAACTAAGGGCAGATTAGTAGATCTCCATATACTTCCTGGATTACTGGTACGTGACTAGGACATGTGACCATGCACACCCTCTCAGGGGAGGAAAATGCCTTTCCGAGATCTCGTGAGATTAGATGAGATTTCCCAGCAATGCTCGGCTGATGACAAGGCAATCCCAGTGCGCATTGTTTTGGCAAACTGAAGTCATTTCACCCTTTCAAAGCAGGAAGTGAACACTCTGCAAGTGTAAGAATTTCAAAATCACAGCATTTTACACCTGACATGTCTATGTTATTATTAATCATCATACATAGAGGGATGTATTGGTAGAATTAGATTTTTGAGTGTAAAGGCCCGCTTTAAAGTACCTGAATGCATTTTTACGATTTAACTCCAGAGTTTAGGGTCACCTTAATCCAATGAGGATGACCAATAATGAACAAATTGCAATAATAAACCATAGCAACTGGATTTACTGTAGTCAGGTCAGTTAAGTCAATTTCTGAATGGTTGGTAGGAGTTACCATAATTTGTTGGTAGGAGTTACCGTAATCTGTTAACTGCTTTAATGAATAAGCCTGCACAGGTTGCTCTGAGAAGCACTGCTAAACAACTGTACAAGAAGAATATCATGACATGACATATGGGAATTTGCAGTCATCGCATTGCTAAGGCAGTCCTAGCATCCCATCTCTACTGGATGCCAGTGCCATAGAAACCTATAGGAAGTCTCAACCTTCCCCCCTTTCTCCACTGGATGTCAGACCCATGGAAAATAATAGAAGACTTGTCAGTCTCAGGAGATCAAGACACAAGTCGAATGTCCTTGAAGCTCTTAAATCCGGGATTTCAAGTGATATTCAGGGACACAAGGGCTTTGCATGAAAGATGTGCTAATAATATTTACTGCTGTCCATAGTAACCAATCAACTTCTTTCAGCCGTGAAGCACTGACAATGTCTGACTGGTTGACAAAGGCAACATCAAATTTTCTCATTAGCACTTTTCCTATATATGCCCCATAATGTGCAATGTACGTATTTACACATGTGCAATGTGCAGCCTTGCTTAATATGGAGTTTAACAGATTTTTAGAAAAAAGAGAATTTTGTTTAAAGCAAAACAATATTCCAACCATACTTTTTCAATTGATTTCCCATTGTAGCAAGGTTAAAATAAAACTCTGACATAAGTATTTATATGTAAATTCTTCACATGATCGGGAGAAGGCGCATCACATGGATGATAACTGCTCTAGGCTACCGGGAAGATTTACCAAGACATACCATAAACTCACATTTATTCCTCTTCACAAGTACCCTCGTGTATAAAAAGCTTTCTAAAAGAAAATGTGTT